GGCAGCGGAATCCAATACAGCTGGGAGACTTGGCTGGATGACAGAGTCCCGGACAGAGAAGTGGAGCCGGCCGGCTTCACCCTGGTCGGAGCGGACCTCGATCTGACAGTCACAGGGAAAATCGATCCTGGTAAGAGAGCGACTCTGTACCCCCGAGCCCCGACATTGAACTGCTTTCTGTGTCACTGCGACCTTACTATCTGCCCCGTGAGTTCCCCCAATTGTTTGTTACCGTTGTGTACTGTTGATAATCACAAGTTTACTGGAGAACTGAGACCAAGTAGAGACTTTGGACAGGGTGGATATGGTATAATAAAGGCAGTTTATTCAGAGGTAAAGATATCTGGAATCGCGTGCACGGACTCGTTCGTCAAACTCTTAGGGAGCTATCTGAAGAGAGCCCCGAAAACATTGTGTGCTGACATTTTATACAATAAATGATGTAGGTTGAATCTAGTAGTTCTGATCTTCTGATTGGTCCTGATGAGTTGGGCGAGGTCCCCTCCACTGTTGCATTGGCTCTGAGTCGGGTTCTCTGTCTTCAAATGTTCAGCCTAAAGAGAGGGGATTTTTGTGTGTGTGTGTGTGTGTGTGTGTTTAACAGTGATGATGTGTGTGTGTGTGTGTGTTTAACAGTGATGATGTGTGTGTGTGTGTGTTATCAGTGATGATGTGTGTGTGTGTGTGTGTGTGTGTGTCCTCAGAGCAAGAACTCGTGAGTTGGAAGAACTGAGAGACCTATGGCGTGGGTGTTGTCCTTGGCCACCTGCTGACAAGGCTGACAAGATAGGACTCTTTTGTCCATTGTTATAGGATAGGAACAGCATTGATTGAAAACAAACGCCCAACACAAAATGGGTCATGCACAAGATTTTAGTCAGACCAAGCTATAACATTATATATTTACTACGACAGTACATTCAACCAAAAGCTAATATAACAAAGGCATCAGAGATTATTTATAATCTGTCACAGAAACTGGAATCCATCTCCCCAGATCAGTCAATAAATGCTTCTGGTATTGACTTATATGCTGCCCCTGTCTTCATGTTGTTGCTGGACATATCTTTTTTAAAATGTGTGTAGGTCACCTAAATCATCAGAAAAATTGCCCCTCCTGAGAATTTTTTCAGGAGCCGCCACTGGTCTATAGCCTACATGGATTCCAATCCATGGGTTTACCTTTGACGCTCCGAACATGATTTTAACCTAGTAACCTTTGCAGTTGGCTGAATGTGTCTGTAAGACCACGGCAGCTGTAAAGACAGGATCTTCCATCTAGATGACCCTGAGGTCAACATATATCACTGACCGCCAGAGACCTCCCAAGAAGTGAGCAGTGGCCAGGGGGCAGGTGGCCATGTCTCATGGTGGCCTCTAACTGACAGAATTGAGCACCCTGATTCTTGTGAATGCTCTTCTTTAGAGCGACAAGTCAATAAAAGTGTTGGGAGGGTGTGAGTGTGTTTTCTGATTTGAGGAAGGAAGTGCAGTATGAAGATTAAGCATTGTTTTTATAATGAAAGCTGTCCAAAACAACCCTTGTTATTCGTCTTTCGTCTCAGAAACATGAATTTGGCTGGGTTTAGTGTACTGGCCAGCCTTTCAGATCTAAGCCTGTAACACTAATCATTAAGTCAGTGTAATTAAACATGGTGCTTAAGGCACTCTGAATAAGAAGCCTGTTATGTCACTCAGCTATTTAGAGGATTGTGTGCGTGTCTGTGCACGCTCGTTTATGCTTTATTGCTGGGGTATTGCAGTGATCCCTCATGGTCTTGGCTGAGACTGAGGTCTCATGGGAGAGGGGGAGTAGGCTATAGGTAATAGTAGTTCTCTGTTTTGCTCAGCTCTATCTCTGCTCTAAGTAACTGTTCTGTCCTGTGACGAAATGCCTCAGGCTATCTGGCGTTATACAGAGACAGAGGGAGAGAGTCTTTGAGCTGCTCGCAGCGTATTCTGGAGATAAAATGTTAAAGAAATGAAATGGCAGGGCTCCTATTCGTCTCATAATATTACAATATTAGATTCATTGAATGTCATCGTTTCATAGACCGGAGGTGGTTCTACAATACCAAGGAACACTAATAATTTCAAATTAAGTTTTTGAAGGAAAGTTTATGTAGGGAGAGCAGCCTTTTGACAAAAATGTATCTGATTCTTACTGTTTTGATAACGTTTTTAATAGAGTAGACACAAAAGCTCTTGATGTGCCAATCCCTTCCCTGCATGTACCAAAGTTTGTCCTGCTGTATTTGCCCAATGTCTGGATAGATGCCTGGTTTGGCAGATTTTCACATTTTAAGGTGACTGACCAAAGGCTGAAGCTAGGTTTCCATCCAATTGGCGATAGATTTTCATGTGAATATTAAGAAAATCTGCATAAAGAATATATGCACATTTTCCCACCAGTGGTGATTCCACCAAACGTACTTGTTGCGGATACAAATCAGTGCATGATGACTAGTGCACACAAAATGTACTTTTTCGCTTACATTTTCATGTACAGAATAAAAATCTAAAGTTGAATATGTGTTTCCATCGCATGTTCAACTATAGCAATAGTTTTATCACAATCTGTTGCGTTAAATGGCAAATGTGCTAGGGCTGGGACGATACCAGTATCGCGATTCTCGTTAGTATAATGGCAAGGAAACAAAACACAAAGCAGATTTGTACTTATTTAGAAAAACAGCCCTAAAGTTGGAAATAAACATGATGTTGTCATCCAGAGTCACATGTATTTCATTTCCAAGCTATAGCACACAATATTTTACATATAGCAGGTTTTAAAGGACCAAAGAGTTTGGTCTGCTTCGTGTTTTCATTTTTGCAATCTAAAAAATATTGCGATACTGGTATTGTCCCAGCCCTAAAATGTGCCTACTCCGTTCTTGGCATGTGCGCTGTAGCCAACAGCTCGCAGATCCAGTGTGAGATTATGGATAAGAGCGAGAATATTTTTATTTGTCAAGCATCGATCATCATGTCAACAGAATAAGACCCTCGATATTTATTGGAAAGGAGCATCATCACTGTGCACTTTTACCACCCTGTGAAGTTCATTTAGCAATAATACATGAGAGTCCATGTGTTTTGACATTTTTATCATGGCTGTGACATGGTCATAGCCACGAGGCGAAGCCGAGTAGACCAACTCAACATGATAAAAATGTCATAACACATGGGCTCAAGTGTATTATTGCTTTTATACAACGGGTTACCAGTTTATCCCCTTTTCTGACAGCCATTCCAGAAAGCACTTCACTGCCAATTGGTTTGTCTTGATGTAGCTTTTTAATTTCTCTCCTTTTCTATGTCGCCTATAACGGTGCTACTGATTTCTGCATGTCTAACGTTAATGTTAGGCTCAGGTTGCTGGTCCACTTGCTCTTCTTCTTTCATTTCTTTCATATCCTCCTCCTCTTCTTGTTTGCACCATTCTTCAAATGTTAGTGGATAAAACAAATCAAAAGTCACTTTAAAATCATCCATGACGAGTTACAGATGCTAATGCTTGTAGTTGTAAAAGTAGTAGTAGTAGTGGTAGTGCGTTGCTAGGTAACGGTAGGTAAGGATAGGCTCTAACAATGGGAATTCCAAACCACCCGTTGTATAACAGAACTTTATTTCTTCTGTAGCCAAATAAACTGCATGGTTTCCCGAGTCATAGTGGGAGGACCACACACCATATCATTGCTTGACTCCAAGTTTACTTCGATATGATGGTTGTTATATCAATATTTGCACATAAAGGCATTTCCACCAACATTTCTCTCATAATTCATTTTACCGACACAAAAAGATCCCACCATGTCGAACTAACAAATTCTGTCTGCATTTATAAAATTGTACCGAAAATCGCATAGAAACTGAGGATGGAAATGTGGTTAGTGTGATAAACCTTGGTCTGAGACAGTCTGCTTCTCTACTGTTCCCCCCCCCCCCCCCCCCCCCCCCCCAATCTAAGGAATGGTCACGCACAACCATAGTACAGTTCAATGTCCTTTGGAGGATTTTACACAGAAACTGGTGAAGGAAATGAAATTACCTATAAAACTTGAATCATAAACTAATATCAGAAATATGCCTACCTGTCTCTAGATGGAAGAACATGGGCCATCTGTCTGACCTGTCACCTGTATGTCCCCTGTACCTGTCTCTTCTCACCTGTGTCACCTCACCTCACCTCACCATATACTACCCACCACTGTGACCTGTACGCTCTTGTTGGCTGGTCCTCACTACATATTCGTCGCCAAACCCACTGGCTCCAGGCCATCTATAAATCACTGCTAGGCAAATCCCCGCCTTATCTTAGCTCATTGGTCACCATAGCAACACCCACCCGTAGTATGCGCTCCAGCAGGCATATCTCACTGGTCATCCCCAAAGCCAACACCTCCTTTGGCCGCCATTCCTTCCAGTTCTCTGCTGCCAATGACTGGAACAAATTGCAAAAATCTCTGAAGCTGGAGACACTTATCTCCCTCACTAACTTTAAGCATCAGTTGTCAGAGCACCTTACCGATCACTGCACCTGTACACAGCCCATCTGAAATTAGCCCTGCCCAACTACCTCATCCCTATATTGTTATTTATTTTGCTCATTTGTACCCCAGTATCTCTATTTGCACATCATCTCTTGCACATCTATCATTCCAGTGTTAATACTAAATTGTAATTATTTTGCACTATAGCCTATTTATTGCCTTACCTCCATAACTTGCTACATTTGCACACACTGTATATATATTTATTTCTGTTGTATTTTTGACTTTGTTTTGTTTTACCCCATATGTAACTCTGTGTTGTTGTTTTTATCGCACTGCTTTGCTTATCTTGGCCAGGTCGCAGTTGTAAATGAGAACTTGTTCTCAACTGGTTTACCTGGTTAAATAAAGGTGAAATAAAAAATAAATAAAAATAAAGTGTCCTCTCTCCTCTCCATAGAGCTGCCAGAGAACTGGACAGACACGCGGGAGACCCTGCTGGAGGGCATGGTGTTCCAGCTCAAGTACCTGGGCGTCACACTGGTGGAGCAGCCCAAAGGAGAGGAGCTCTCTGCAGCCGCCGTCAAGAGGATTGTTGCCACGGTCAGCAACACACACACACACACACATACACACTTGGCCTTCTATACTCCCACTCATCCTCTCCTAAGGAGTTCTGCACCCTATCCCCCCAAAATGCAAACTCCATTCTATATAGATTCCCTGACCTTTTAAAGGCCCTTTTGACAATTTTCCCAAACATACAGTGGATTGTGATCTATTCCTTATAGTTCAATACCCGCACCACCACAGTATAAAACAGTCCCATTTATTTTCCCATTAAGTTGTTGCCTTCATGAAAAGTCAACCTGCTGCAACACTTAGTGCCCCAGGCTTACTGTGCCATTTCAACCAGAGTAGTAGTGAAGCATCTGTGTGTTGCTTTGGCCAGGTTTATTATACAGTAACAGAAAGGCTTATTGTTAATAAATCTGTCAGCTCCACACTAATTAAATTAGGGGGAGCTGATCAGGCCCAGGGCACACAGGACAGTGTCTCAGAGGTGACTGACTCTGCTCTCTCTGTCGCCACCCTGACAAGACTAACAAGGTCCTGACAGTTAATACACTAGGTAGTGTTGTTTTGGACCCAATACTTCTACTATTGACTGGTTGATAGCAGGATTTTAGAGAGAATGGCTTAGATAACAGCCTTGAGTATTTCTACTGCTCCTCTTCCTTTTCCTAGCCGGGTGTAAACAGTACCGAACTTTGTTGTTGCTTGCTCTGCCCAAGGCTCTCTGTGGACATTGCTAAGCTCCTGAGTGGTATTTGTGTGTTATAGAACTCTAACAAGCTGCTTGTCTTGACTGTGTGTGTTAGGGATATCATTAGCAGCTGAGGGGTCTGGATGCATCCCTTCAGACTGTAGTATGAAGTTGTCTAATAGATCTGTTTCTCCAGTATAATGAATCATTGTGTCTAGAAAGCTGTTATCGGCCCCCAGGGTTTTCTAAATCATGTGTTTTGTTTCTCAGAGGGAAGTGTGTTTAGGCTAGGGGCGTGTAGGTTTGATTAATGCCTGCTGGTGTCAAGGCTGTGATTTGGACTAGTTCTGTGTCAGCACTGGAGGAGATAGCAGAAGTGTGAACGGACAGTCTAGATGTGTACTTTTAGCACAGACTTGCACACTGGCAAGTGTCGCACATGTTTCTGATTGCGTTATTATTGTTCTCTTTCTGTCTGTCTGTCTCTGTCGGTCTGTCTGTCGGTCTGTCTTTCTAGGCCAAAGCCAGTGGCAAGAAACTCCAGAAAGTGACATTAAAAGTGTCCCCTCGAGGAATCATCCTCTACGACTATGCCTCTAACCAGCTGATCGAGAACATCTCCATATACAGGTTAGTCCTCCTGTCTCCCTCTCTTTGTTTCTCTCTCTCTCTCTGCCTTTCACTGACAGAGAAGAAGATACTCATGCTCTCGTTGTGAGTCGCTGAAATGTGAAATTCTATCAGGCCAAGTTCATAATTTTTAACTCGCAAAAAAACAAAGGTTATTTTCCCCCAGAATCTCCCTTCTCTTCCAAAGGGTGGAGGGTTGGATAGAGTTTCCCATCAATCTCCTCTCCCTCAAGAGGCCTCTACAACATCTATGTGTCTGAGCCCTCACCTGGGGTGTGAACACTCAAACGGGCACGCACGATAGCACACATGCGCAAGCACACACACACCCTCAATTTCACCTTTCAAAAACAGTGTGTGACTTGTAACTGCTTAGGTCAAACTTGAGTCGCTTGTCTAACATTCCACATTTATGAGAAGTGGAGTTTGAACTGGGTCTTCCCAGCACTCTATCTGGAAATGAAATGAAGCAAGGCCAGAACTTGGATCACTCTCTCACAGTAACAGAGAAGGGGTTGGCAGAATCACAACCACGTCGCTCAACTCTCATCACACTGGAGCACACCACTCTGCTCTGACTCTGAAGAGGCTGGGTGATCTTCACACTAACTATCCAGCTGTGACCCAATGTAATCGTGTTGGTTAAATTTAAAGCAAACGTCATTCACTGGGGTCCTCCTCTCCAGGCATCCGCTAGAGAAGATGGACGAGCAGGAAATGAAATGGATTAGACACACAATTTTACAATGCTCTCACTCGAACATCTGTCGTAAATCCCACAGCGTCACATTGTGCAGCTGTGGGCTTTTTTAAATGTGTATATATATATATATATATATATGTGTATATATATATATATATTGTTTTTAGTCATTTAGCAGACGCTCTTATCCAGAGCGACTTACAGTTAGATAGCAGAGAAACCTTTTACATGTTGCATTTTTATATCTCTGAGTAATTAGTTAACTAGACATTTGATCTCCCCGCAGTGATGTTGACAGTTTGAGCAGCAGTGTACTGGTGTGGAGAGGAACAGGGAGGGCAGATGGTGGTCATTCATTATCCCTGTCCCGCCACTGCTCAGGGTCCCCCTCCGACTGGCCAACCCACCTGTCAATCAGGTCTTGGGGTGATGACATCACCAATGATGTCATGTCTCTGAATATCTGCAGAACAGAGCATGTTCCAGGGGCCAGCGTTAGAGAAAGAGCAGACCTGTGGTTAAGAGTCCAGGTTCAATCCAATAATGCTAAAACGCCACAGGCCCAGGCGGGCTAGGTGGACACAGCAGGCATCAGTCTTTATGGCTGACACTAATGGAGCCAAGGTACACTGGGGATCAACTACAGATAGATGTCATGAAGTTAAAATTCACCGCCTGTATCTTTTGATTGGCTCTCCACCTGTACGCTATAGTGTGTGTGTCTGTGTGGAATGTGATGGGTGTATTTGATGTGGAAATTAAAGATTTAAGAGTCTAAATCTGATTTTAGTGGGCTTAAAGGCTTAGTGAAGATGAAGTGGTGTGATAGCCTTGCCCGATCCGCGGTGACTCTTAGATTGTTAGGTTTTATTCAAACTAGTTTGTCTCTGACCCCCCTCAGGATATCCTACTGCACAGCAGACAAGATGCACGACAAAGTGTTTGCCTACATCGCCCAGAGCCAACAGAACGAAACTCTTGAGTGCCACGCCTACCTCTGCACCAAGAGGAAGGTGGTGAGTCCGTGTGTGTGCCTGTGCGCCCTCTTCCAAATAGTCTTCCTCCAAGGGGGGTTTTGGGAATGATTGTGCCACTCCCTTTCTTTCCTTCCCCTTGTTAATTTAGCTCTGGTCCAAAGGCCACACTTCCTCCCAGCTGCATAAAACAACTGTAATGAAAAGGAGAAGTTGAACTGAGCAGTAGGGAACAACACCTAGGTTAATGTTCCCTCATCAAGTAGTCCCTAGTTCTGCTCTCATCTGTCATCAATGGATTTTCATCTCCCATCTTGAAACACTTAGCCAACATCTTGTTTGTCATACTTATTGTGTTTATCTCTCCCTGCCTCGCTTTCTCTCTCTTTCTCTCTCTCTCTCTCTCTCTCTCTCTCTCTCTCTCTCTCTCTCTCTCTCTCCTCTCTCCCTCTCTCCCTCTCTCCCTCTCTCCCTCTCTCCCTCTCCCTCTCCCTCTCTCCACCCAGGCCCAGGCAGTGACGTTAACAGTGGCCCAGGCCTTCAGAGTGGCGTTTGAATTCTGGCAGGCCTCCAAAGAAGGTAGCATGGTCACCCCTGACGACTAGAGAAGTGTGATGGCTGCCTGATATTCTTTGAGTGTTCATATCCTCCTACTCTCTCCCTTTCCTTCCCCCCCAACTCTTTCATTCTTTCACCCTGTTGCCTCTCAGCCTCTATTCTCTTTCAGTACACACTTAATTATCTCCTGTTCACATGCAATGCATGTAGCTATTCTCTACAATAGCTGAATGAGGGACGATCGAGTGGAGTTTCTCAATCCCACCGTAGTTCCTGTACTATGTGGCAACATAAATGACCCTGTCCTCCCTCACCTTGGCCCTGACCCCTCAGAGGCATGTGAAATAGTTAGCTCCCCATCAGGAAGGTCCACATTTGATTAAAACAGTGCCTCTGTGGGAACAACCAGGCCAGAAAGGGAAACCTGGCTTAGTTCAGTAAACCCACTTTATTAAGGGCAGAATACTCTGGTTAAAGGCTGATATGGATATTGACAGGAGCTCAGTGAGTCGTAGCCTAGGTGGGTTAGAGTCAATCTGGCCTGTTTCCTGTGTTTTCACTGTGGGCTGTGAGAACATGAGGCAGAAGTGGGAGAGATGGAAGTCACCAATGAGATGGTGAGGACTACTTCAACCGGAGTGGAAATATTTTATTCTAGTACATTAATTATTTACTAGGTATATAGTTTAATTGAAGTATTTTTTACTTTGAGCATGTACAGTAGTGTATCTGTGTGCGTGTGAAGACAGCTATCCAGCTCCTACGGTACTCGCCCAGGCTAAACGGATGAAGATGTGTGTACACACACTGAATGTGCTGTGTTAGCAAGGTGTCACAAACCCATTCATGGTTTTCACAGATCAGCAGAATATGTATGTAATTTACTGCATGTATGACTTCTATGTAAATGAGAACTCCTGGGGGTATTCTCTACGTGTGTGTCAGTATTTCTCCCTCTTCACACCTAGGGCTGTTACGGTGACCGTATTACCGCCACACTGGTGGTCACGAGTCATGATGACAGTCAAATTCCACGTGACTGTATAGTCACGGTAATTGGGCTTCTCTGAGCTCTGATGCTGCTGATGGTCATCAGTAGCCTACCAAACTTGCTAACTGCCTGGTACTCAGCACTCTATTGTCCCTGTAATAACTCTGACATCAATGCAAATTAAATCGAAAATCTAATCAAACACTTCATGAGCGCCCACGAGCTCATGTTGCGCAACATTTCTATAGGCTATGCAATTGCGTGAGAAAACCGAGTGATGGAGGAGGATCCCATCAGCTTTCTACAGGCTAGGCCTACTATATTTATTTCTCAACTTTCCTAATATTAAGCACATTGCTTCTCTTTACAACAGGAGGAAAGCCTACCTGGCTGGCATGAAAATGAACCATGGGAAAAGGATCCTCCATTCGCTATTTAAGTGCATAGATGACATGTATTTATTTCCCCTGACCCTATTTCGAGACAGGTGCATGATAATGGTCCGTTCTAAATCAAAGCAAATTTCACACATATAGTGCCTTCGGAAAGTATTCAGACCCCTTGACTTTTTCCAAATGTTGTTAGGTTACAGCCTTATTCTAAAATTGATTAAATTGTTTTTTTCCCTCATCAATCTACAGTCGTGGTCAAAAGTTTTGAGAATGACACAAGTATTGGTCCTCACAAAGTTCGCTGCTTCAATGTTATGAGATTTTTGTCAGATGTTACTATGGTATACTGAAGTATAATTACAAGCATTCCATAAGTGTCAAAGGTTTTTATTGACAATTACATTAAGTTTATGCAAAGAGTCAATATTTGCAGTGTTGACCCTTCTTTTTCAAGACCTCTGCAATCCGCCCTGGCATGCTGTCAATTAACTTCTGGGCCACATCCTGAGTGATGGCAGCCCATTCTTGCATAATCAATGCTTGGAGTTTGTCAGAATTTGTGGGTTTTTGTTTGTCCACACGCCTCTTGAGGATCGACCACAAGTTCTCAATGGGATTAAGGTCTGGGGAGTTTCCTGGCCATGGACCCAGAATGTCAATGTTTTGTTCCCCGAGCCACTTAGTTATCACTTTTGCCTTATGGCAAGGTGCTCTATCATGCTGGTAAAGGCATTGGTCGTCACCAAACTGTTCTTGGATGGTTGGGAGGAGTTGCTATCGGAAGATGTGTTGGTACCATTCTTTATTCATGGCTGTGTTCTTAGGCAAAATTGTGAGTGAGCCCACTCCCTTGGCTGAGAAGCAACCCCACACATGAATGGTCTCAGGATGCTTTACTGTTGGCATGACACAGGACTGATGGTAGCGCTCACCTTGTCTTCTCCGGACAAGGTGTTTTCCTGATGCCCCAAACAATCGAAAAGGGGATTCATCAGAGAAAATGACTTTACCCCAGTCCTCAGCAGTCCAATCTCTGTACCTTTTGCAGAATATCAGTCTGTCCCTGTTTTTCCTGGAGAGAAGTGGCTTCTTTGCTGCTCTTCTTGACACCAGGCCATCCTCCAAAAGTCTTCGCCTCACACCTGCCTGCTGCCATTCCTGAGCAAGCTCTGCACTGGTGGTGCCCCGATCCCGCAGCTGAATCAACTTTAGGAGACGGTCCTGGTGCTTGCTGGACTTTCTTGGGCGCCCTGACGCCTTCTTCACAACAATTGAACCTTTCTCCTTGAAGTTCTTGATGATCCGATAAATGGTTGATTTAGGTGCAATCTTACTAGCAGCAATATCCTTGCCTGTGAAGCCCTTTTTGTTCAAAGCAATGATGACGGCACGTGTTTCCTTGCAGCTAACCATGGTTAACAGAGGAAGAACAATGATTTCAAGCACCACCCTCCTTTTTAAGCTTCCAGTCTGTTATTCTAACTCAATCAGCATGACAGAGTGATCTCC